AAATAAATAAATAAATAAATAAATAAATAAATGAAATGAAATGAAATGAAAGTTCTTTTCAGTCATATGCCATCTCTTATTCATCCCTGTATTCCCAGATTCCCACACAGTATATAATATGTAGGAGGTAGTTTCTCTTCACTCCTAACCCCATGACAGCCTGGCTACCATCCCTATGGGTCCTCTGCCACTTCCTTCTCCAAGGTCACCAGCACCACCACCTGTGGCTAAATCCATTCCACGCTTTTCAGTCCTTTCTTGCCCTTTCTACAGTATTTGACCCTGTGGGTCATGCTCTTTTCTCCAAATTTTCCCATTCCTTGCTTTTCCTCCTACTATTCCAGCTGCTTCTCTTCAGTCTCATTTGTGGATTTCTCTTCTGTCCATCGTTAAAACGTTGGGTGTTCTTTAGGGTTCTGTATTTGGCTGTCTTCTCTCAGCCCTCAACACACTCTGTCAGGGCTAACCCTGCTATTCCCATGACTGCAGCTAGCACCTTTTACTGACGACTACCAAATCCCAATCACCAGCCCAGAACTCCTTTCTAAATGCCACACCCAGTGATACAACTCTTTATGGGCATCTCTACTTACATGAAAATCAGAAAAGAAAGCATGGGCTCTGTAGTAAAACTGCTCTAGTTCAAAGCCTTGCTCTATCACTAATTAAGCTGTATGGTATTGGGCAAGTTACCTCTCTGTGCCTCAGATAGTAATGATGGTTCTACCTTATGGGGTTGTCGTGAGAATTAAATGAGATAATCCAGGTATAGCCCTTAGGGTAGTGCCTGGCAATGAATAAATGTTGGTAGAAACAGTAATTAAAGATCTTCAGAAGGCTCAACTCAGCAGATTCAAAAGTCAATTCATCACCATACCTGCAATCTTTTCTTCCTTCTTTGACCTAAATCCCAGTAAATGACACCATTATCTCCCCAGCCAGAAACCTGGGTGTTTTCCTTTCCTGACCACCGCTGCCTTCCCATTCTATCAGGGGCTCTTCCTTTTTTTTTTTTTTTTAAGGTTTTATTTATTTATTTGAGAGCGAGAGGAAGAGCAAGCGTGAGAGAGGGGGAGGGTCAGAGGGAGAAGCAAACGCCCTGCTGAGCAGGGAGCCCGCTGCGATGCGGGACTTGATCCTTGGACTCCAGGATCATGACCTGAGCCGAAAGCAGTCGCTTAACCAACTGAGCCACCCAGGTGCCCTCAGGGGCTCTTTCTTGACTCGACTTTGCCATCACATACCTAGGATCTCCTGAGCCTTTCCAATGTCCAGACTTTACACATTCATCCAATCAGTAGAACAATCCTGCAGAGTAGGTGCTATTATTATCACCTCCATTTTGCAGATGCAGAATTTGAGAATTTGAGGCACAGAAAGGTTAAGTAACTCATCTAAGATTATATGAGTGGCAAAAGCTGGGATGCAAATCCATGTGGTCTGCTTTTAATCTTCATGCTCACAAACACTGTGCCATGTGCCCTACTGCTTCTATTGTAATACTTAGCACATTCTATTGTTTGTCTCCTCTCCCCTGCCAGACTGTGTTCTTTGAAATCGGGGACTCTTGATTTGTTTGCAGCAATACCTTCAGTGACTAGAATAGTGCCTGGCAAACAATGCACGCTTAATACACCCAGTGAGTTAGAGACAAAACAAAGTATAAACAAATAGAGGTAAAAGAATAGCCATCAGGTCGCATTCAGTTATGGCCAGGGTTAGAGGTTTTGTTTGTGGAGAAAGTTTTTTCTTTTTTCTTTTCTTTTCTCTTTCTTTCTTTCCTTCTTTTTAATGTGAGGATAACAAGGAGAAGATTGGAGTCAAAGATGAGCAGAGGTTGAGTTTAAGAAGATAATAATATCCACTGATTTAAGAGTTATTGCAGGGCACATGCTATAATCCTTTTAAGGAAGGATTCACAGACACTACCAATTTTTTTAAAAATGCTTTTTTATTTATTTTTATTTTTTAAAAAAGATTTTATTTACTTTTTTGAGAGAGAGAGTGAGAGAGAGAATGAGCAGGAAGAGTGGCAGAGGGAGAAGGAGAAGCAGACTCCCTGCTGAGCAGGGAGCCTGATACGGGGCTGATCCCAGGACCCTGGGATCATGACCTGAGCAGAAGGCAGATGCTTAACCAACTGGGCCACCCAGGCGCCCCTAAAACTGCTTTTTTTAAAAAGAGGCCACTACCTACTCCCATGTCACTCAAAATATGTTAAAGGACCCAATTCCAGTGCTGTGCACGTCAGCTTCGGATGGAGTATCATGCTGGATCTGAGAATTAAAATTTAAATCGGGGACACATAAAAATGTAAGCTCAAGCTGAGTTCCAATTTGCCTTGGGGTCAATTGAAGTGAGCAGTTTATATTCAGCACCACCTGGTGTGCACTGAGTACTGTGTGAATTACTGTGTCATAATAAACAAACAGACATGGGTGTTTCTTAAACAGTAGCAAGAAAAATGCTGGCTGTGCAGACCCTGGGCAAGCCCCCAGAGAGGGAAATGAAAACCCCATGCCTACATTTGTCCCTTCCCATTTCATCTCCTCTCTTTGTTCAGGCCTTCCTCCTTTCCACCCCAGGGTTATTTCCTTAATCCTCCTGACCCCATCTGCAAGGTTCCATCCTGTGCCACTTTGGAAGATCTTTCGGAGTCACCTGGGCTCAGCAAAACAGTATTCTGTTTTTCTCCCACTGGGTAGTAAACCAGTGCCAATCCAGGCTCTGAGCCTGGTTAGATTGATCAGGCAGGAGTCAGGCAAAATGCTGTGCACATACACACCATAGCTCTCCCCAGAGATCCTGGCATCAGGGCCAGGATAACGCCACAGCCTCTGTGGTGTTCTTCTTTGCTCTCTTGTATCCTTGCATGGCCTTCATGAAGAGTAATCATGATTTATAAGCAGTAATAAATTACAGTTTAGAGACTCCAGGCACAATATAAATATTTTCCCTGAAAGCCAAGAAATCTCTGTCTAAAATGAGATGTAAAACAACAGCGATTGAAATAAATATGCGAACCGGATGGTCCCAAGCACCGTCGAAAGAAGAAAGAACAGCGCAATCTACCTCTGCAATTATGGGCATATAATAGTAGGATCGTTTTCAGCCCGTTTCCCCCACCCTGCTGGGCAAGCGTTGGCTCAGATAAGGAAAAAGAGCCAAACAGACTTGGGTGGTGGTGGTGAAGAAACACCAATTATTTTTGATGCCTGGTAAACAGCCTGCGCCAGAGGATAAGGCTTTTCTGGCTCTCAGCTATGCTTTCTTCTCTTTCCATGTGTCCGCCCTCCTCCCCTGAAGCTGCCGGGCGGGGAGGTCTAAAAATAGTCCATGAATCACCGCGGATCACGTCGTGCGGCAGTTACATAAACAGCCAGCCGGGCGCCCGGGCCGAGGGTAGGAACGGAAAATATCTGGGTCAGGGTTGTCACTCCGAATAGGGTCCCCCGGAGTCGGCCCGCGGGAGGCGCGGCCGGGGCGGAGGCTGGGGCCTGCGGCCGGGCGCAGCCGGGGAGCGGCGGGCGGCGGCGGGCGGGAGCAGCAGCCCCGGGCCGGGCGCGAGCAGGGCGGGCGAGCTCCGCGCTCTCCCCATGGCGGGGAGCGGGCCGCGGCGGCGGCGGCGCTGACGGGCCCGGGGCGGGGCGGGCGGGGCAGGCCGGGCGGGGGCCTGGGCCCGAGGGGAAGATGAGCGCTCTCCTAGAGCAGAAGGAGCAGCAGGAGAGGCTGCGGGAGGCCGCGGCCTTGGGGGACATTCGGGAGGTGCAGAAACTGGTGGAGAGCGGGGTGGATGTGAACTCCCAAAATGAGGTCAACGGCTGGTAAGTGGGGAGCGGGGGAGGCCTAGGTCAGAGCAGCCGGCCGGGGCCCGGGGCGCGGGGCGGGCGCCCGCGACCGAGGCCCGGCGCTGCCCGCGGACGCCAGCCAAGGCGTGGCCCGGCGCCGGGGCCTCGGAGGCCGGGCGCTCGCCAGGCCAGCCCGGGCCCCCCCCCCACCCCCCTCTGCGCCGTGCAGTCGGGAGCGCGGCCTGCCCCAATCCCCGCCCACGTGGTCCTCCCGGGGCAGCGCCCACCCGAGCCCTGGCCCCCCTCCCGCCCCGCCGAGCCCCGCACCCCCCACCCTGGCTCCGCTGGGGCCGGAACCCTGGCGGCTACGAATTGATCACGCAAGCTCGTATGGAGCTCACCCCAGTTCGAGTTTTGAATTATTTTGCCCTAGGAGCTTCTGGAGAACACACCTGTGCAGAGCAAAAAGCATAAGCAACCGAGCAAATACGAATCTTATAAATTAGCAATTTCCCAAGACCGGGGGAAAAAAAAAATCACTCGCATCACTATTCTGTCTCTCTGTTGTCTCACTGCCCCAGTGATTTGCTGCTGCCTACGGCTGCCTGTTGAGGGAAGACTTACTCGTTTATCCCATGGACTGTTTTTGCTTTTTTATTTATTTTTAAAGATTTTATTTGTTTATTTCACAGACACAGCGAGAGAGGGAACACAAGCAGGGGGCGTGGGAGAGGGAGAAGCAGGCTTCCTGCCAAGCAGGGAAGCCCGATGCGGGGCTCGATCCCAGGACACTGGGATCATGACCGGAGCCAAAGGCAGACGCTTAACGACTGAGCCACCCAGGCGCCCCATGTTTTTTTATTACAATCTTAAATATAGAATTTGAATCAAGACTCTAGATGCCTGCCTGCAGACTGAGCCCTTCCCAATTAAATAGGGAGTCTCATTTTAGCATGTGCTGGTCAAATCTTTAGTGTCAAGTTCCCGAATGTGGTGTTAATTTTTATTTGATCCAAGAAATGCTTAACCCGCCTGTTTTGCTAGCTTAGACTTAAAGTGAGCTTGGAAAGATTTTTTTTTAAAATGGAATCATACATTTTGGAACTGAGAGGGACATTGGAGATGGATGGGTCCAACCACTGAGACTAACCCTAGGTCACACAGCTATTAATATGATAGCTGGGACCACAACCCCAATGGTTTTCTGACTCCCTCGCGAAGTTATCTGTCTCCTAAAGGAAACAGCCTGGATAGCTGTCCAGAAGGCCAGGAAACAGTAGCTACTGCCTTTCTGTTTTGTTTTTCCTTTAAAAGTGTTTGCAAACAAGCTTCCTGTTCTGTGTGTACCTTCTCCGTGGTTCACAAGCTGGGACTCACTGTTTTGGCAGTGGGAGGCAGTGTTGTGTAGAAGAAGGAGCCTGGTCTTTCCCACAGGTTCTTCTCCCTTCCTCCTTTAGCTAATACCACCTTGCCTGAGTCACTTCATTTTCCAGTTGTTTAAAAAGAGTGTTGTGACCACTGAAGGATATGAAGCATAGTATGAATCGCTAACATTTACTGAGTTCGTGACATAAACAAGGCTCTAAGAGCTTTGCCTCATTATCTCATTCACAACTACTCCAGAACATCGATGTTCCTCTCTCTGTTTTACAGATGAGGAAACTGAGGCCCAGCCAGATTAAGTAATTTCCCCCAAGGTCATAGAATTTACTAGAAAGGAAGCCAGCATCTGACTCCAGACCCTACTTTCCTAACTATGATGCCTGCCCCAAAGTAGGCTCGGTCTATAGTAGTTGAATCTGAAGCAACATGAAGAGGCTGCTCATCAATCAGGGAGGCTGTCTATTAGGCACCTCATGTTGGAGGTTCAAGGTTGCATTCCTGATCTCCCCTCATCCCCCAGGCCTGCTCCTCTGAGTCCTACTCAGCTTGGCGTCTGAGGTGCTCAGGCCAGAACTCTTGGTGCCCTCCTTGCCTCCTGTCTTTCCCTCATATTCCACATCCGGCCAGTCAGCTAATTCTGCCGACTTTACCTACAGCTGTGGTCAGAATCGGACCACTTCTCAGTAGCTCTACCTCTACACCTCTGGTACCCAGCCACCATCATCCTATTGTCCGGATTCTCGCTGCAGCCCCCCAACTCGTCTCCTTGCTTCCACCCTTAATACCCTGCAGTCTTTTCTCGGCGCAGCAGCCAAAGGGATCCTGTTGTAAAAAGTAAGTCATAAGTCGGATCGTTTTCACCCTGCTCAGAACACTCTAATGGCCACCATCCCACTCTGAGTAAAAGCCTGTGGTCCTAGAGTTTCTACTTCCTGTCTGCACCGTCCTCTCTCCTTACCTCTATGCCTCATCTCTGGATTTGCCCCCTTGCTCCCCTCATTCTGCTCCCCTGGCCTGCTGGCTTTTCCTGAAACACCAGGCATGGCCCTGATGCAAGGCCTTTGTGTTTTTTCTTCCAAGTCTACTCCAGAACATCGATGTTCCTCTCTCCATTTTACAGATGAGGAAACTGAGGCCCAGTAAAATTAAGTAATTTGTGCTTTTGCTCCCTCACCTCCTTCAGGTATTGGCGTAGATGCCACCTCGGTGAGCCTCTCCTCAGCCTTCGATTTAAAATGGCACCTTGCCCCTCCCCTGCCTCTGGCACTCCCTAGTCCCTTCCCTTGTTTTATCATCCCTGTAACGCTTCACCACCACCTAGGGTACTGTTTGGCTCATTTATTTGCTGACTGCCTCTATTTCCTTTTCTGGAAAATGGAGGGTATGTTGATAACAGCACTTAACTCATGGGTTGTTCAGAGATCGAATGAGTTAATACATGAGAAGACTTTAGAACAGTGTCCCCCCATGTAAAAAGCGTTATATCTGTGTTAACTATTGTTTTCTTCTTATTAAGCAGTGTGCTGGGTAATGGATGTAAATGTTACCCTCAAAAAACGTAGTCTCTAGCATAGAAAAGCAGAATGATTACTGCTTTCAATTTGTAGTTGCTCAATAACCACAATTTCAGCACCAATGAATGATGGCCAGTGCTTCTGGTCTGAAATACTTACCCGGACTAACCAGATATTCTCGCTGCAAATTTAAAGCCTAAAGAATTGAAGTTCAGAGATAGAGTTCCCACATCAATTGTAATTCAAGCGTGTGCATACCCCTTGGCTTTAAGGAACAAGTATAATGGCTTGTGAAGAAGTTGAAAATACTTCCTGGCTGAGTTATGGCTGTCCAGAGCCACACAGGTCTGGGCTGTAAATGATTATCACTCAGGGCACGGGGTTGTGGGGACCATGCCATGTTGACTTAACCCCACATTACATGGTGATGTTTTAGCTAGTTGGTTTTCCCAGAGTGTCTCAGACCCACTGGCAGTAAATTAGCTTCTTCAGTCTCAAGCTTGTCATGAACAAGTGATTTACTACCAGCAAGTGAGTACTTTATTTCCAAAAGGGAACATATTTTTCTCATCATGCTCCATTCATTTTTGAATGCTTGCTTATCATTATAATTATTCACTTTTCAAGCCTGTGCCATAGATACACACACACACACTCACTCAGCTGCAATTTGCCCACAATCAAGGATGTTTTGGATCCTTCCACTCCGGGCAATGTCCACCTTGTTCTTGGTTCATTTGTTTGGTGATTAAGTACCTGTATGTCCAAGCAGACACTTCTTATCTTCATGAGCTTATATTTCAGGAGCCGAGATCGAGTCTCTTCCCTTATTTCTCCCAAATTGACAATCTTTTCTTCATAGAGAATATCTTAAAAGTACCCAGATAATCTAATTCTAATGAATAATAGTGCAGGATATCACTCTGAAATATCAGTGGAGTGGCTCCCAGCCAGCCAGACAAGCTTGCTTTCTGTAAGTCAGAAATACTTAGGAGGCCAGGGCAAAGCAACGTCTCCCTTGAACCAAAGGAACTTTCTGGATAGTTACACTTCCAGGTTAGTGACCTATCCCTCACTACTGAACATATTGTTCTGTTCTTTACCATATTGTATTTGGCTATAAGCTCTGAAGATATTTACCTCTGTTCAATTAGAGAATTGGTGATTGAGGACATTTCAGAACGGAGAGGAAAAAATATTTTCCTTCTTTAATATCAGTCAGCTTTGGCAACTGGGGATGAATTTAGTAACTCTGAATCCTTTCATTTCTGTTAAGATGGAGTTTTTAACCAGCATGCTAATTATATTTCTATGCAGTGTTAAAATAATAGCCCTTCAGAGTATGCATAATCCTCTCCTATATGTACAATGGTAAATAATCAGTTTTACTTAAATGAGTCTAATATGTTAGAAGAGTTTGTTCTTGAAAATTTTGGTCATTGGTGTACATTTTTAAAGTGCCTTAGGAATTAAAGTGTGCAGCACTGTACATTTAAGCGGATGAGCCTTATGGAGAGAACTAGAGAAGCCAACTTTTTAAAAAATGGAAATTCAAAACCGTGTGTGTGTGTGTGTGAAGGAAGGAAAAGGAAAAGAGGGAGCAGCTGAGATTCAGCTGGGAATATCTATAGCAATAATAATTTTAGCAGCAGAGCTGTAGATGATTATTAGCCTGATAATATTTAATCTTCATGTGTCATTTAGTGCATATGAAGCAAGTTGCCATTACCCCTAAAAAGGAATGTGGCACTATAAAAACATTTTAAAGAGACTGGGACAATCTAATGAGCATTACTGATGGAAGACCACTCAGCAGTACCATTAGAGTTAGCCAGCCAGCCAGCTTCGTGGAAGACATTGAAATGAAAGCCCCTAGAATAAATTGGTTTTTCCCAAGGGCCCATAATGAAATTTAGAAATAAATTTCAAGCATACTAAACATTTTGATCACCTGCTTTCTGAAAAGGAAAGTTGAGGTTGCCAGCCTGCCTTCCTGGTTCTAGGCTGAACTTTTTTTTTTTTTTAAAGATTTTATTTATTTATTTGACAGAGACACAGAGAGAGAGGGAACACAAGCGGGGGGCGTGGGAGAGGGAGAAGCAGGCTTCTCGCTGAGCAGGGAGCCCGATGCAGGCTCGATCCCAGGACCCTGGTAACATGACCTGAGCCGAAGGCAGACGCTTAACGACTGAGCCACCCAGGTGCCCCATCTAGCTGAACTCTTAATGGGCTTGCATATATTTCTTGATTAGCATGTGGAATTTGAAATCCCAAACTTGAAATCCCAAACTACCTCTCCTCTTTTAACTCACTCTTTTTTCCTTTTCTTGGGACAGGACCTGTTTACACTGGGCATGTAAGCGCAATCATGGTCAGGTGGTCTCTTACTTATTACAATCAGGAGCTGACAAAGAAATTCTTACGACAAAAGGAGAAATGCCAGTGCAATTGACATCAAGGAGAGAAATCAGGAAGATCATGGGAGGTGAGTCTGTGATTGGGGGCAACCTTTGATTTTGTCAAACTAATTTGAGACTCATGGGGTTATTGGCCACATTCTTGATGCCAGTCAAACCACAAATCTGTTTTTAAAAGCAAAGGTAATATTACTGTGCCAAGATAGTAATTCCACGTGGTTTCCAGACAAGTCAGCATTATCAGGTTTTATTTTTTAAAATTTATTATTTATTTATTTTTATTATTTTTTTAAGATTTTATTTATTCATTTGAGACAAAGAGAGAGAGAGCATGAGCAGGAGAGAGGCAGAGGGAGAGGGAGAAGCAGGCTCCCCGCTGAGCCAGGAGCCAGACATGGAGCTCGATCCCAGGACCCTGGGATCATGACCTGAGCTGAAGGCAGACTCTTAACCACCTGAGCCACCCAGGCGCCCCCAGGTTTTATTTTTTTAATCTGTAAAATTTAAGGTGATAAAAATGGTGATCATAAACCTAATGAAACGCTCTTTGCTCTTCTGATTGGAAGAGGCAGTGAACACTGAACAAAATATGTCACATACCAAAGGACACTAGCTTTCACAAGACACTCTCTTCCTGGTAATTTTTAAAGGGCTGTGTAAATGTTACTCGTTTTCTTCTTTGTAAGTGGAAGAAGATGATGGTGCCGACAGCCTCCCCCAGCTGAAGAAGGAGTCAGAACTGCCCTTTGTTCCGAACTATTTGGCCAACCCAGCCTTCCCTTTCATCTACACCCCTGCGGCAGAGGATCCAGGCCAGCTACAGAACGGGGGCCCCTCCACACCTCCGGCATCGCCCCCTGCGGATGGCTCTCCTCCCTTGCTCCCCACGGGGGAGCCTCCCCTGGCCGGGGCCTTTCCACGGGACCACACCTCTTTGGCACTGGTTCAGAACCGGGACGTGTCTGCCCCCTCTGCCATTCTCCGAACACCAGAAAGCACAAAACCGGGTCCTGTCTGTCAGCCGCCAGTGAGTCAGAGCCGCTCACTGCTCTCTTCTGTCCCAGCCAAGCCACCAGTGTCTCTGGAGCCTCAAAATGGGACATATGCAGGACCAACGCCAGCATTCCAGCCGTTCTTCTTCACGGGGGCATTTCCATTTAATATGCAAGGTAAGCCTGCGGTGGGAAGCAGCTGCCACTGCAGGGCAACCTGTGTCCAGGGGTCAAGTGATGCACTTCCTGGTTGTGGGGGCGTGGAGGGGTGCGATGGGGGGCGCGGAGAGGGGTAGGGTGGGCGCGCAGGCTTTATGTGTGTATTGAGACTCTAATCACAGACTTACGGAAATTTTGCCAGACTAGTATAAGGAGCTGTCTTTACTCAGATTCACAAATTGTTTACCTTCTGCCCTTTTGAAATAGTTAAGTGTGTATTTTCCAGGAACAAGGATGGTCTCTTACATAACCGCAGTCCAGTGATCACGTTTAGGAAATGGAACCTTGCTATAATACCATTTTCTAATCCGGGCCATATTTAGATGTTGTCAGTTATCTCCCTGGTACCCTCTGCAGCTCTGTGCGCTCCTTCTACCCTGCTCCCATGCCCCCCCCCGCCCCCCCGCCTGGGGTCACCCGTCGCGTTTGGTTATCCTATGGTTCCTTTTTCCTTTCACCCGGAAGGTTCCTCAGCCTTTCTCTTATCATTTTGGACCTCAATAGTTTTGAAGAGTCCAGGCCAGGTATTGTGTAGAATGTGATCCCCCACCTTTCTCTACATACTAGTTGCTATTCTGCTGTAAAGAAGGACCTTCCCTTCTCCTCCATACTTTATATCAGTATGAATTCATAGATTCTTTACATTAGGTTATAATTCATTACTGTCATCATCTTGATGTTCAAATTACACCAGTCCAGAGGAGCCCCTTCAAGCCAGTTCTCGTGTCACTTGGACTTGTCCCATCATTCTTGGAGCGTGTCCTTACTTTCTGGGGCTGCAAGAAGGTCCAGGCTCCCAGTGTAATGTTCCCGGCCCCAGCCCCGGAGGCAGCCGTTTCTCCACAAGTTCTCCTGGTTCTTTCTGGCGGAGAGTGGTGGTCAGACACGGGGCTGTGGACACTGTGTACACTTAAGACTCCAGCTGTGTCATACCTTCTAGGTCTGCATGGAGGACAGAGCCAGGAAAGAAATATATTTAGGTGCTGATAACCTTGGCCTAGGGGTGCCATGAAGGATTCATATGTAAGGAGCAAAGCAGAAGCCCCAAACCCACGTCGGTGCTTGGCGTGGGCCATCTTGGCAGCCAGGCTCAGAATTTAAGGGCAGACGGCTCAGATCCCAGACCCTTGAATAATGGCGCTTATTTACTCCCAAAGCCCAGACTCCTCCCGTGCTGAGGTATACTGTATTCAGATCACAGTTAGACTGTCTTTTTTTCTTAGTAGCTTATCTTTCTGCTGTCTCACTGTGTTTATTACAAGGAATTTCATCATTCACAGATACCTTTCGATTCATAGATTCACAGTTATTAAGTCCTTTTGGAGTCACTCCTATCCCATGCCTTGCCTGTGCCTTCCTTTCATCTTTCTTCTCCTGCCCTGCTCATGTGTGGTTTGATACCCAAACCCACTCGTATACCTTGACCTCCTCAGCTCCAGCAGCAGAAGTAAATCGTCCTTCTGCACACTGGATGGTTGTCTCCCCCGACACACCTCCCTTTTACTTTGTGAACCCCCGTCTTCGATGTAGGGAAGACAGTGCAGGAAAGTGTCAGCAGAGCCAGAAGTGGGGCTGAGCTGACCCTGATGACAGGGCTGGGTTTTCTTGGGGGCGGGGGGGCCGTGCAGGCCTTTGGCACAGGGCATGATTATGTAGACCGGTCTTCTGGAAAAGATCTTAAATTACTTCGGCTGCCAGTGCAGGCCCCATCCATTAACGTTTCTCCCTCTTTATTTCTAGAGCTGGTACTCAAGGTGAGGATTCAGAACCCATCTCTTCGAGAAAATGATTTCATCGAAATTGAACTGGACCGACAGGAGCTCACCTATCAAGAATTGCTCAGAGTGAGTTGCTGTGAGCTGGGTGTGGATCCAGATCAAGTGGAAAAGATCAGAAAGTTACCCAATACTCTGGTGAGAAAGGTAAGAAAGGTCGGCTAAGCATGAGTGGTTGGCGGCTTTTTGCATTTGGAAAATACGCAGCTTCCTCCTTGGCTGTGAGTCATAGTAGAGAACCGAAGAGAGACTAGAAAAAGGAGCAAAGGGTGGTTTTCCAGACATTGTCATTGAGCTTTGTTCCCTCTACTGCATCTACAGGGACATGACATTTTTGAAATTTGTAGGATACCAGAGAGAATGTTCTGAATTACCATTCACATGTACCTATTTTTGGTTGTTTGTGTAGTGATATGTAAGGATCACGTCAGTGCACTATCAGATACGGCCTGTGTTAAGAACCAGGTTAAATGATAGGGCAAATCCGCATGGATACATGTGTGGTCCTCCCAGCATCCGTGGCTTCTCAGGGCACCTGGGGAGAATGGATCTGAGTAGCCTCTCGCTTCAGGGGGTGCTCATCCTGGAGCAGCTGCTGTTAAGGGCTTCCTTCCGCCTCTGTGCCAACCCTGCTCACGCCCCGGGGGACTGCCCTGCACTGTCACTCCGACAGCCTGCCAGCGGGGTCTTCCTCCCCCCTCCTCCTCCTCCTGCTTCTCCTCCTTCTTTTTCTTCCTTGCCTTAAAATGAGCTGAGATACTGGTATGGACACAACACACCAAACATACAGAGACAAGTTACTCCCCTTAATGCGTTCAACCTATTTTGTTTTAGGACAAAGACGTTGCTCGACTCCAAGACTTCCAGGAGCTGGAACTGGTTCTAATGATAAGTGAGAACAATTTTCTGTTCAGAAATGCTGCATCCACACTGACTGAAAGACCTTGCTACAACAGGAGAGCTTCCAAACTGACTTACTAATGCAGCAGGGACTTTTATTGCTGAGTGTTGTGACAGTGCGCATCCCCTCTGGGCCAAGGACAAGCCATGGATTGAAATGCCTTGGGCGCCACCGTGTAGTATACACTAACATCGTTCTGCCAAGGTAGGAAGCCCCTGACCCCGCCCCCCCCCCAGCAGCGGTGCCACTCTTCCAAGCCTCTTGGTGCACAATAAACCTATTGCTTGAAGCTGTGAACAGCTGAGAAGTGGTCTGGAGAGGCAGAAGCCAGCCGTTCTGAATACACTGTTTCGTGTGCCCCATGTCAGTGAGCTGTCCAAGCAGACGCGGAGAGCGCGGAGCCTGTTTGCAGCCACTCCTACGGGTGGTGCACCTGCAGGGCGGACATGCTCTCTTGGTGTCGCCCGCTCCCGCCCCCCCCCCCCACCTCTCCTGAAGCAGGAGCTGGTGACAGAGGAAATTGGGGAAAGCACAGGTACTGGGCAAAAGAATTTTAGTGTGACTAGTGGCTGTGAGGTTTCACATACCATATTTATAAATGTTACTCAGGTTCAAAGTATTTAAGAATACAGTTACCTAGTTGTAAGTATGCTGTTAACCAAAAGAGCTGCCCCTCCTCCCCCCTTTCTCTTTTGTGAGCCCCCAAGCCTGCTTCTGTCTCTAGTCCGCCATTGCCTGGACAGTCATCGCTGCATTAACTCTGTGGCCACTAGAGGGCTCTCTGACGCCTTCCAAAAGAGCAACGCTTTTTTTTGTTTTCTTGCTTTTTTTTTTTTCCACACTTTTTAAATCTCGGAAGCGATTCCTGTCCTCTCCATGTTTAATTGCACCGTCTGAGAAGAGCACAAACCTTGCCGGCCCGTGTTCTCCACTTTCATTTCCCACTAGAAATGAAAAGCAATTTTTGAAACCGAATCTGTTGCTATTTTAAAGGTCATCGTGGGAAACTGAGCTAAAGGAGTTAGCATCTTTATTTTTGTATCAAAGATAAGGGTTATTTTGAAATTATTAGGATTTTTACACAACTCTGAAATCTGTTGCTTTTTGTATAAACAAATTGTTTGATCTTAGGGCTCCCCGACTACCACCACCAGTCCACTTAACAAAGCCAGTTGTGAGTTTCCCAGGCTTTGTTCTGGAAGACACTGATTAAACTCTTGAGCATGGCATACGAATGTTTTTAAAGAGCGCATTCAAGAATTCTTTTCCTTTCCTTCCATGTCATTAATGTTCAAAGAGCCACTGTCTTGTTGAGACAAACAGCGTAACTTTAGAAATAAGAACGAGCACACTTAGACAAACAGGAGGGCAGGGGTTCGAAGCTGGCTGTTGAAGAGCGTCCCTGCTGTCTTAAGAAGCTTTTTCCCCATAGTGCCTATAGTTTCCAAAGAAACTGAACTTCCTAACTGTGTTAATTTTATTGGAACACTGCGATGACTGAGCGAGAACATGCAGAAGCTGTCAGTGGAAGAGAATGTTGTGCTAAGCTAATGGTCTCCTGCTGCTGCTCGGTGCTGAGCTGAGGTTGAGGTGTTTTCAAGGCCAGCTTCATGGGGTCACTCCGTTTGGTGACTTAACCGTCTCCCACCAGTTACTGATGGTGACTTACTCATCCTTGTACAGTGTTTGCATCACTGAGTAAAGGTTACTTATTATCCCTTCTCTGAAGTGCTTGAAAGGAAACCTCCCTGTGTTTCAACCAATCAGAAGCTAGTTTACCTAGACCTACTAACCTTTTTTCCTTCCCTTTGGGAAAAGTTACAATTTACTGATAACACGAAGCCTAGTTGTATCCCGGAGGAAATAAGTCCAGTATTAATTTTTGTCTAAATCACTGGGGTAAAAATTCTTCTAGCCATCTAGATCAATTAGAGACTCAGAGGCAGTGGAGATCCCCAGCCCGGAGGTGGCCTATGGAGGAGTCGCTCCAGGGCATTCCCCTGCCCCCGTCCCCGGCTTAGAGACGGAAGTTAGAGACGGAGGTTGGAGCGGACACGCGGGCGAGGGAGGGGCTGGGCATCTCAGGGGAGGGCTGAGCCCTCCATGGGCCTCTCTTCTCCTTTCTCAAGTCTTCTGTAGTCAACTGACTCCTCCTGCATCTGGTGGTGGGATGAGCCCGCACAGTTGATGGTAGGTGAGTTTAAAGTCTTAATCTATGCATTCAGAGAAATATTTTTATATGCTTTGTGTAATTTATAACAAGGACTTTTTTTTTTAGCTTTGTTAACTGTGAATTCACCCCTCCTCCACTGCATATTTAAAGCATGTGTTCACACGGTGTGTAAACATTCACTGAAGACTTTTTTTCTTTGTGCATTGCCGACTGTTCAGACATAACGAGTATTATTAAAATCAAATATTAACGGACTGAGCCCATCTTCTTTCGTTTTGGCCTCCTAAAGAGCACGGCACTTCTAATCCCAGGGGGTTCAAGTTCCTGGACGATCCTAGGGACACAATGCTCTGGAGGAAAAATAGCAGGGAATGTCCTCCTGACCTGAGCTGCCTCCCTCCTGCAGCTGCTGCCCATGGCCTGTCAGTGGCACCTGGAGACATATTTTGTGCAGCACCTTTCCTCCCGGTTCACAGCAGTGAGCTTCATCTCCTTGGAGTTGCTGAGCCAGCTAGATGGAGGTCATCCTCTATTAACCGCAGCTTTTGATTATCCTATTTACTTTACACAACTGAGCCTCTCCTTTGGGCTGTCAGCACCTGTCAGTGAGCTCAGAAGCAAACTCCCAAGGCAGGAGAGGAAATACAGCCTCACACCGTCAGATCTTTAGCCGAGCACGCTGCTGAGTGAATCTGCGTTTCTGTTAGTTTAGGGTGGCTGAAGCCTCACAGAGCAGACGTCATGCCAAATTGGCCTAATAAATCAGGGAGCACAGTAGAGACCTTTTCTTAGCACCAAGGAGAGGCAGAATAATTTGGGCATTTGTGCCTTCATACTCACTTTATCACAAGGATGTAAGTCCTCTTCCATACACTCATAAACATCCTGGGCAGAAACAGGCTGCCAAAAAAAAAATGTGATTAACCTTTAACAAATGGCCCTGCAGCACAGGCCGACCTGATACATAGAGGAGAACCAGATCAAAGGAGCCATCTCCGCACCTACCGCAGACCATTTAGGGAAGAAAGACACACCATCACCTCCAACCAGTCCCATCAGACAGAGCAGAAAGGTCAAGGAAGTGAGAGAGTCAGAGACCAAAAAACTCTGTAAGGTAACAAAGAAGAGAGCCATTCCAAATAGGCCTTATGCCAGATGGACTCTGACCTGTAGAAAATGAACGCTCTGTCGGTTTGCTTGGGACCAAATTTAATTTATCCCCTCAAGATGTGTTTTTACCAGCCCGGGACTGGCGGGGGAGGGGGTGCGGCCCCCGGGCTGCTCTTTGCTCCCACTTTCAGCTTTGGCCAGACAGAGGAAGAGGAATGGCTCAGAGGCCTTGCTGGTTATGGGGACCTGTCTGGAACATTCTAAAGGAGCAAGGAAATGAAGCACCATGCCCGTCTCAGCCCCTAGAGGAACAGGCTTGGAGGTCTGAGGGATGACATAAACGTGAAGGTGTTCACGGCAGCCTTCCCAGGAGGCATCGGGTCAGATTTCAGGGGCTTTATTTCTCGCCTTTTTACAGTATCTGCACAGCAGAGCAGGAACTCCCCAGTGAATTTTGGCTGTGAAGATAAAATTTCTAGCCAAAAGCTCTCAAGTCTGAAGTTTTCAGATAATTCCAGCCATGTGGATATGTATAAAGTCTACCTCCACCTCTCCCCTTGCCTCCCCCAAAGGTCCTAACCCCCAAACCTTGTGAACAGGCAGAGAAAGGCTACGTTGGTGCATACATATTGTTGACCATGTAGCTTTATTTCATCAGTGCCCCGTTTTTAATGGATTCAGGCCAGCACCCCAGAGTACAGGACTCCGTTCCTGAGGACGGCCTGACCCGACAGTCTGCTGTTCCAGGAGGAAAAAGCTTTACTTAAAAAAAAAAAATACTTCACAGTAGAAAATATGAAAAATCTAGAGTAGAGAGGTCATTCCATGAGATGATTGAAAACAGCACAGTGTGGAAATAACACTAGGTTGGGAATCGGGAGACCCGGGCACCAGTCTGGGCTCTGCCTTAAACCAGCTGTGACCTCAGGCACATCAGTCACCTCTCGGGCCTGCTTCCTCATATAAAGCATTTAGCACAATTATTCCGGGAGGCACGTGACAGGGCATAACGCCCAACAAACGCCCCCAGCGTCTGCCATCAAGTCCATCCTGCAGACGGACGTGGTGTCTTTTTCTTTCCCGATGAAAACCAGGAAGGGCCAGGAGGAAGTCCCAGGAATCTGTTCTAGGCAAGTCCGGCGTCTCTGGCCATCCCGTAGAAGATGCCCCTGGCTGCAATGAGGTTGGCCGGAGAATCAAATTCAGCTACCGTCCCTTTATCCAGGACAAGGACCCTAGCCAAAGAGAAGAAGTGGTCAGGGCTCCATCAGCCTCGACCTGGCCTTCGAGTCCACCCCTCCCCTTCCGGGGACCGCTCTGGTCCTGCGGTGACATGCCAAGCCTCCTGCTTCAGGTGACCCACCCAACACAGCCCTAAGCCACACGTGCGTGCGTGCTTACAAGGCTGCCTATTTTAGCCGTTCCCTTTGCTCTCCTGGCAGATGAGGCAGTTTCTGGGATCAAACACAAGGTTGCTATTCATCTCTGCTAGTCGGGGCCCCGAGAACCTTCCCTAATGAGCCCTTCCCTCGCCGGGGTCGCAGGACCGTGCCCAGGGAGCCACGGGCCTGTGCGCTGGGCCCTGTGCGCTTCCATCTACTTTGTGCCAACTCACAAAGGCACACGGCAGGAAACCAGGCTGCGCTGAGGCCTGACACTGGAATCTGGGACTTTCGCTGTAAGTCTGGTTGCTGCTGATGGGTGGATCTACACACACACACACACACACACACACACACACGAGTCAGGCCTGGGCCTGGGATTCTCACACACACACACACACACACACGAGTCAGGCCTGGGATTCAAATCCCCTGCCTGGGCCTGGGATTCACACACACACACACACACACACACACACACACACGAGTCAGGCCTGGGATTCAAATCCCCTGCCGATGAAGCACAGGGTGCACCTGGGGCGGGGTCAGCAGCCTGGCTTCCAGGGGGAGGCAGGAGCGGAAAGGGCTCTCCTGAGCCCTGGGGAGATGCCCTTCGATGGGACCACGT